GAAAAATGAAACAACATTGGAAAAGGTTATAAAGAAATTTTCTGAGCTCAAACTGAGATCTCCATTATTTGATTGGTCAGAAACAAGCTTAGAATGCATACTGACCAATGAAAATGTTGATATTTGAGACTGAACTCAGAAAAAGGTTTCACAACCTTGAGGTCTGAAATTATGAAACATGAGACACGAGCGAAACTATTAAACATATCCCAAATAATAGGAAAAACATATCCCAAATAAACGATTTGATTTCTTCAAAAAATGTTCTGATATGCTTTAGTATATGTTCAAATGCAAGTTGAAATGTCTTTTTAATTACCTATGTTGTTTGGGGTTTTTTGAGTAGAAACATTTAAATAAGGAGAAACGACAAACTGACCTTGTTTGTATTTAATAAACGTTCTACAAATTCTTAGTTGTTACGACAACGTTTGAACAATACAGTACGGTGTTATTAAATGACGACCACATACAACAAAAAAAACTGTTGTATAAACCAGCTCGGTATCCTTTTTGCCGCGAGTTAAAGGGACTTCATTGAGGTGTTTGTATTAATATGCTTTGAGAGATAACCTGGTAAGAAGAGATCACCTGTGAAGAAATTCCACTTATTATTTGCTTGTTTGTTTTGTTTTATTTTTTGTTTTTTGTTTTTAATTGTTTTTTTTCTTTCTTTTTTTAATAAGAAATGGATACTTACAAAGCAGTAGCTACACATAATGCAATCTAAACAACGTGTACAAATATACGTCTCTTACCTCATTCCAAGCTTCGTCATCAAGTTTGCCGTCTATAGTTATAGATTTCCCATTGAGATGATACGCTATATAGTTCCTAGGCAACCCAAAATCCCAGCATTCCGACGCCGACTTCAAACAAATATTCTTCTCACTATGCTTCTCAACGTACCGATCAAGAAACAACTTCCCCACCGCAGATTTAATTGTCGCCTCGCTACATTCGGACTTTATGGCTTCCGCAACGGTCCCCGAAGAGGTTGTAACCGTGCTTGAACTAGTCCCGCGACCGGAAAAATAGCCAATTATTATCCCAATTGCGAACAAAACTAGAGTTACTACTGAACATATCGCTATTATTTTTCTAGTTTTAACATCCACAATAAAATAACCTGCCATTTTGAATGTTTGAAAAAAAACACACAGTGTGAAGACGTTCACATTAAATCTAGTTACGCAAACAAATTTTACGGATGCAATCGTAACCTATTAAGGTTACGATTGTTTTTATAAATTTACATCAGGTTATTCGACGACAAGTTATTCATTAAGGATACACCATAATAATGTTTAGTTACGCTGTATTGTTTCGCATGCATGCATAATTTATACCATTCACAAAAAAATGCAATTTAACCGGCTGTGAGTTTACATTATGATAGCCTGAGGCTATGATTCGCTTGAATGAATATACGTATCATCTGTATTCTGTTTAATATATTAAATAATAACTGTTTCGTAACAGTCATGGTTATACTTCACTGGACTAGCTTCCCCCTTTTGAATTTTGTACTGTCAATTGTGAACTGAAGGGGAATAATTTAATTTCAAATTACAAAATCTGTCTTGCCAAATAACGCGCGCGTTCAGGCTGGAATGACTCTGTTTAGGTGATAAAAGGTAAGTAAAAGTCACCTTTACAGAGTTAGCAGACGATACCGTTATGTGCCGTTTTTGTTGTTGTTTTTGTTGTTGGCGACAAACTGCTTTCGTCTACAATATAAATGAAATATTGCAAAAAATTACCGAATTAAATGTATTATTGCGCAGTAAACAATAAGTTCAATTCACTGTCATAATTTTTTTATATAATGAACGATGCACGTTTAATTTTTACTAAACATGTATGTGGTAAAGTTTGCTGAAATAATTAAAGCTGCATTCCACCAGATGAGGCAAAATATTTCCAGAATAACAAATTTGAGAAATATGTACTCCAATTTTAAGAAAAAAAAAAGTCAAGATAAAAGTAATAATTTATGACCGATTTTACAGTATTTCACAGAAAATAATTTTGATCTTGCTGTAAATGAATGTGCCTTTAAAAGTTTTACAAGAACGTTACGTATCTGTCAGACCGGATAAATGCCGTCGTATTTGATAAAAGCAATGAGAGAACAGTTATATTAAAGTTTGCATTATCTTTGCTATTTGAAACATCTAGTTTTGGTATTTCTACGCAAGTTCGCGTCATGAGATATGGCGGGATATCAAGTTCTCTTATGTCGTCTGTATAAAAACCGTTCAGAGCTCTGTATTGTTTCATGGCATTGAGTGAATCAAACAAGGCTTTATAAATATGCCATCTTTCAAACGTAAATTTCCTATCTGTGAACGTCCTTTTAAACTGAACGTGGCCCCATCGGTCTTGTAAATGACCGTGAAGGGTATAGCATGGTTGCCAGACCCACCATAGTGACGTTGCATTTGGGTCCTTTTCATATTCTCCATTTTTATCGACTCTTAAATATTGTTGTGGCCTGGCAAACTGCGAGAACCACACCTCGTTATTAAATGGGTACGGCTGTTCGCGGCGGGAATTTTCAGCCAGTTTTGTGAAAGGAAGCATTATCTCTAGCGACCAATACTTATCTCTGTCAGTAGGATCATTGACCGTTCCTTCCGTATAAATGGCCCTCTCTACACCAGAATCCCATTTCATATCATGCACCTTTTTACCGGCGGCATCCCAGTATGATTTGTACATAAGCAGATCCATAGCAACGCCTCGAGCATTGAGCTCCACTTGTTCATAATTAAACAATGTGCCATCTACATCAAGTAAAAGATCAAATCCATTTTCTGTCCATATTTTTGAGTCATGGGCTGAAAATTTCGCCCAGATATCATTTTCTTGGAGGTATACTCCAATATAAAGATTGACATCGTCCCATCTGATTTTGAACTTTGTGACGTAATGAGGTTTTGGATATACCTTACTGCGCAGGTCAAGAAATGTTTCACTCCATGGAACCTAGTGAGTAAACAAAACATAAAGTTCATTAAGGACATGTTTTGCTAGCACAATTCATACTTACATGGAAACACAATTAAAAAAATGGGGAAAATGTTTGTGTGTTTGGGTTAGTTTGTTTAGGTTTGTTTCTCTCTTTCTTTTTTTCTTCATATTAGTCTTTTGCTAGCACATGTTATACTTACATGGAAACACAATTAAAAAAATGGGGGAAATGTGTGTGTCTTTGAGTTAGTTTGTTGTGGTTTGTTTGTTTGTATCTTTCTTTTTTTTCTTCATTTTAGTCCCTTGTCATATCTTGGCGGTCATTGCAATTAACCGGTTTTCCTGGATATCTAACACAGTAATTTTCAATTTCTGCGTAATTCACCGACTACTGAATCCCACGCTATTTTTGAATCGGCGATAAGAGGAAAATACCTCGAAATGAATTTCAAAGAAAACTAGGCGGTATACAAAATAATTAATTGAAACACAAACTTCATTTCTGATTTGTATCGTAGCTGATATTTGCCATGTCTTATTTTCGCGCAGCGAAGCGAATATACGAGATGACACAAATCATCTACAGCACGTTATGATACAAAAATAATCAAAATTTTGTCATATATCTATGACTTCAAAGCCATTAAAAAGTAACAGATATGTACAATGATTTTGGTTAACATCATATGTGTACAGTTATAACTGATAAAAAAGAACGTGCACAATGTCTTCAAGGAAAGGATGCTGTTTAATTAAAATTAATTTTTTTCTTGCTACTACCTTTGAGATTTATTTTATATGTTTGGCTAATGAAAAGTATTCTTAATATTTCCTCGTATTAAGAACAAAACGATCTAATGATATAATCATGTTTTTTCATATGTGTATAAAATTCTCAAAACATAATTATGTTAATATATAAATAACACATGGGTTTGTGGGTAACAGTAAAAATATCATCCCGAGGAAAATACTGTTACCCGAGGCGTAGCCGAGTGTAACAGTATTTTTACGAGGAATGATATTTTTACTGTTACCCACAAACCCATGTGTTATTTATTTTATTACCCCGAACAAAAATACTGTGATGATCTGAAATAAAAAAAAATATTGTCAACTAAATCTAACTGTAACAAAAATAAACCAAGAGTAACAATAACTAAACTGTCCTTACCTTTTAAGTTTTAAGTGAACTTTAGGCCTACTTGAGAAGTTTTCTTTTTCTTTTATTCTTTAAGCAAGTGATGATATATACAAATCATAAACATACAATAAGCTAGGTTTTATTTAGAAAACAAAACACTAACCCATTTACACGGTTATGATCTGTGAAATCTTATCCTTCTGTTTCTAGAATATTCTTAGCATGGTTTTTGACAAAATATCGATGATATCCTATGTCTGTCCACCATATCTGTAACATTTCACTGATTAGAATTGTTAAAACTTAAATAATCCTTTGTTGCATGCTTAAATCGTCTGCATTTATTTATTTATTTATTTATTAGTTACACTTGTATTTTTTGGATTTATTTATTACTTTATTTATTACTTTATTTATTTATTTATTTATTTATTTATTTATTTATTTATTTATTTATTTATTTATTTATTTATTTTTTACATTTGTATATTGTCGCATTTATTTATTTTTTTTAATTTATATATTTAATATTTTTTATTATTATTTTCTTTTTTGTAAAATTAACTTTTAGTACATAATCAAAACCTTTACCTACCTCTTTCCATGCTTCTTCGTCAAGTTTTCCATCTAGCAAGATTGTTTTTTCGTTCAAATGATACGCAATATAATGCCTTGGTAGTTCGTAGTTCCAACAATCCGACTCGCGTTTTAGACATGTAAACTTTCCGCTATTTGTTTCCTCATATCGCTTAATATACAGTCGGGTAATGTTGGAGTAGGAAAACGACTCTCGGCATAGCGGTCCGATTACTTCCGCTTTTGTGGTCTTCGAACTGCGGTTACCATCCAATGCTTGCCGGTGACCAGATACATATCCTATAACGATTCCTAACACAAATGCAACAACAGCTGCCACTGTACAAAGAGCTAAGATTTTCCGAGTTTTGTTGTCAACAATAAAATAAGTAAATGGCCCCGCCATCTATCTTTACACTCACTGAAAATCGACCTCTCTAACTTGATATTTAGAGAAAACGTTTAAAAGAATGAAACATAATTAACCTTGACATTAATACTTGTCATTTGTTAATTACTTAGACGATACTGCATTTCTCAAGGTAATATATTAAGATGGTATATAATTTGAGATTTGTTTCAATGATTAAATACTGTTACTACAAAACAAATGTCTTATTTCGGTTTTATAACTTTTATTTGCCTCACAGGATGAACGAAAATAAATGGTAAGTACATGATAACTTATGGAAATGTGTACGCAGCTTAAATCACGAACCTGTTGAGGATGTTAAAGTTACATGCAATGAGCCTACCAATGTGATATTTTTGGTATCATATCAACTTGCTGTTTTGCTTCAATAACCGGTAAATAGATGGCGTTTTTTGTTGGTTTGTTTGTTGTTGTTTTTGTTTGTTTGTTTGTTGCTTTTTTGTTGTTTGTTTGGGTTTTTTCTTTGTTTTTTTTCCAGACACATCGAGTCACTTGAGTTTCAACCAAATATATGTACACGTAGCTGAGCAATCGCATATTTTAGACACTTTCCGTAAAGCTGTCTATATAGTGGAACACCTCTGTTACAACCAAACACACCTCGGTTATTATTCATATTCACCTCGGACTTTATACGGATTGAAAGTTGTTCTATCACGTAATTTGACAATACCTCCTTGAACATCACATTCGTGGCAAGTTTGATAGAAAATATTCCCAATCTGTTTTTCAAGTTATGGATACAAAAAAGGAATTTCAAGGGACTACCATGAGCGCGTTTGGATTCAGTCGCCAATTCGTCAGATTCTATAAACTTAAAACAATCTCTCTTTTTAGCGTGGCCATAATTTCGCGGAATCAGCATTTCGGACTAATGCGCGCGAATTTCTACTTTTAGTGTAGCCGAAAGAAAAATAAAAAAGAATCATTTGCAACCGAAAGCAATGTCATTATCTTCGAAGAAAGATGACAAATTATGACTTTCTGGGTCATTTGACAGCTCGTCTAAATTCATAACTCTCGGAAAGTAGCGAAAAGCGGCGAAATCTGCCGATATCTTACGAACATGTCCTAAATTACAAATCATCTTTACGTAATTCATTAAATTTGTTACAATTTCACATATCTCAAAAATTCAAATGAAGGGTAAAGATAAGAATAGCATTTCAACCAAATCGATTACATGTAACATAGTGCTGTTATCACCCTTTAAATCTAGGTCACAACATTTTCTGCTTTGTATATGACGTGATAAAGCCTTAAAAACAATGCCTAAACTTTTGCTGGTATTAATTATCATTTTATTATTTCGCGCTCGGTTAAAATGTTTTGCCGAAAAGATACTGGGCAGGGAAACGGATGATTTTGATTTTGACGGATTCCCCGGCGCGCAGCACGAGTTTAAATTTGAAATTGGTGGCGGGAAACAAGAATGCTTTTTCCAAAACTTAGCGGCTGGTGGGACACTACATATATCATTCCAAGTAAGATTGTGTTATTTATTATTATTATTATTTCTCAATTTATATTTATATTTGGTGTCCTATTATAGTTTTCAACTATCATTTGCTACTGCTACTTTTCGAACTAGTACAGTTATTGGTTTTTGTTGTTGTTGTTGTTGATGTTTTTTTAGATAAATTACTTCTGACGATCTCACGATATCCTACCTATATTAGCTATGTAAATCCATTTCTTCTATGAAAAACTTCCAAATTAATAATAATATATTTCTTAATTGTTTAACTTAACATTCAGGTTCTGCGTGGAGGAGATGGGAATATAATCTTCATGCTTATGAAGCCAGACAGAAACACATTTGACATTTTAAAATCAACGGATCCAAGTCCTAAAGGCTATTTAGAGTACGGACCCGACACAGAAAGTGGTATGTCAATAACTTCCAAAGTCCTACATACTTTATGTTTAATGTTGAATTTATGTAAACATCTGTTTAGTTTTGAAATGACCATTATTATTATTATTATTGTAAGAGGTTTGTAAATTCATTAAATCTTAAAATGGACAACTACCATTATACTGGAAGTTTTCTGACTACAAGGATGCTCAGGCCAGCCTGGCTTATCCATGCAGGTGTCAACATGTGCAAAATCCTATCGCAGTTAGAATTCACTATCACCGTTAGTATTCTCTTTCCCCATTTGTATTCACTATGATGGTTAGCATTCATTATCGACATTTATATTCACTACTACCGTTAACTTTCTTTTTCACCATTAGCATTCACAAATGCCGTTTGTATTCACTATCGCTGTTAGCATTCACTTTCTCCATTTGTATTCACTTTCGCCGTTAGTATTCACTTTCTCCATTTGTATTCACTTTCGCCGTTAACATTCACTTTCTACATTTCTATTCACTTTCGCCGTTAGCACTCACTTTCTACATTTGTATTCACTTTCGCCGTAAGTATTCACTTTCTACATTTGTATTCACTTTCGCCGTTAGTATTCACTTTTCTCCATTTGTATTCACTTTCGCCTATTAACATTCACTTTCTTAATTTGTATTCACAATCGCCGTTAGCATTCACTTTCTACATTTGTATTCACTTTCGCCGTTAGTATTCTACTTTCTACATTTGTATTCACTTTCGCCGTTAGCATTCACTTTCTCCATTTGTATTCACTTTCGCCGTTAGTATTCACTTTCTCCATTTGTATTCACTTTCGCCGTTAGCATTCACTTTCTACATTTGTATTCACTTTCGCCGTTAGCATTCAATTTCTACATTTGTATTCACTTTCGCCGTTAACATTCACTTTCTACATTTCTATTCACAATCGCCGTTAGCATTCACTTTCTACATTTGTATTTACTTTCGCCGTTAGTATTCACTTTCTACATTTCTATTCACTTTCGCCGTTAGCATTCACTTTCTCCATTTGTATTCACTTTCGCCGTTAGCATTCAATTTCTACATTTGTATTCACTTTTGCCGTTAACATTCACTTTCTTCATTTGTATTCACAATCGCCGTTAGCATTCACTTTCTACATTTGTATTCACTTTCGCCGTTTACATTCACTTTTTACATTTGTATTCACTTTCGCCGTTAGCATTCACTTTCTACATATGTATTCACTTTCGCCGTTAACATTCACTTTCTACATTTGTATTCACTTTCGCCGTTAGTATTCACTTTCTACATTTCTATTCACTTTCGCCGTTAGCATTCACTTTCTCCATTTGTATTCACTATCGCCGTTAGCATTCACTTTGTCCATTTGTATTCATTTTCGCCTATAACATTCACTTTCTATATTTGTATTCACTTTCGCCGTTAGTATTCACTTTCTACATTTCTATTCACTTTCGCCGTTAGCATTCAATTTCTACATTTGTATTGACTTTCGCCGTTAGCATTCACTTTCTCCATTTGTATTCACTTTTGCCGTTAGCATTCACTTTCTACATTTGTATTCACTATAGCAATTATCATTCACACACAGGTGTTGTGTCCAGATATCTTTGTATTGATACTTCTGCTTCTGTATACATATGGTCAGAAATTGAAAGATATAAAAAATGATTTAAAACATGTATGCATTAAATATAATAAAAACAACATGCAACATGTATCTTTAACGCGTCACCTTTAAGAAATAATCGATTCCTTCGTCCAACTCAAGTTAAGAGACAACTTGAATTAGAACACCACTTTTACTACCTCAGCCTAGTGGTCTCTTAAGACAGGCTTTACTGTTGTAGTCGGTCGGCTAAAGATTTGCGCATTTCCCTGTACGTATCAAAATGTTGGCTGACTGGCTTACTTTATTCAAACCGGTTTGTATTAAGATATTGTAATTATACATCAAACTTATCCAAATAGTCGAAAGATTGTGCAAATATACATAATAGCAGTGTTTGAAATGTTTTTGTGTTAACAGGATTTCAGTATTTCAAAATTTTCTCTGTTAAATCGCCTTACATTATAAAAAAGTGTTAATAAAAGATATGTTCAAGCACTTATAAATTACTGCCTCGTTCTTGACCAATTTAATTTCATAAAAAACTTGCTAATGAACACAAACTTGTACTCAGACATGAATTTGCTCATTTGACCTTTATTGTAAGCTATGTTTATGTTGTTTATTAACAGCTGATTATGCGATATGTGTTGACAACACTCAATCTCGTATGGCGTCAAAACTCGTGTACATATTTATAGTGACCCATTTAGAAGAGCACTATACTTGGTTCACGACAGAGAGGAAGGACATACGTGAAACAATGTCAAACGTCACGGTACGAGAATTGTATCATTACGCTATATGTTTTACAACGTCGGAACATTATGTGTAGTAAAAGGTAGCAAAATTTAAACAAAGTAGTGTTTTGACTTCCATACAAAATACTCATTCACACTTGTCTTCGCTGATCGCATTAAAAATCCTTAACGCCCGCACGATAAATTAAGTTCAGTTTTCCGTCCGACTTCTCGTGCGTTTGGCTCTTTGGCTCTTTACGTCGTTAACGTTGAAGACCTGTTTACAACACTCACTATAATTCCCACCAGTCTAAAATGAGATAGCCTGAATTGCTATTGTGAAATTGATAGTCCATTTTGACTTCCTTTAGCAGTTATTATTGTGTTCAAAGTTCAAACGCTTGAACGATATCTCTCACAATTTACAGAGATATAATTAATCTAGTAAAGTAGTTTTTTTAAATTGCTACGATTATGAACTATTTAAATTATTTGTTACTATGTCAATGAAAAAAAAAAACTATGCAAAAACAGATGACAAAAAAAACTAACATTTTTTCACATTTTTCAGACATTAGTGCAAAAAGTTCAGGAATCCGTTTCAGCGACTGTCGCCCATCAAGTCGGAAGTAGAATGCACGTGGTAAGAGACTGGTACCTGGCTATTGGGAACAACACGTACATTCAAAGATGGTCTATATGTCAATGTGTCGTAGTGCTAATAAGCTCAGCCTGTCAGGTGTTCTTTGTTCGGAGACTTTTTAGAAATTATAACACTAAGACACACCCATAGCCAAGATCCATTCTCATTTAATTCTATTTAATGTGCATTTAGATAGTATCCCTTTCTGTTCATTAGTGTTCTTATATATACATATGCAGTTATGATGGGGTTTATGTCGCATGGATGGATGGATGGATGGTTGGATGGGCCGTCCGCCCTTTCAGACTCTGACAGTACGAAACCCGATTATGTCACATCGATATACATGTTATGATTTAATATATAATTTAGTATCATGGTAATATGTCACAAATACTTTTTCTTCCATTAAAATGCTAAACAAATAATACAATAATTTGAAAAGTTGCATAAATAAAGTATATTTACGCCACTATGCTCGTTACCAGTATGCCGTATAGTAGACAAAAAGATATTGTCTCCGATTAAAGACCACTTGTAAAGAAATTCTTTTTTTTTTCATTTCCCCAGAGTGGCCATTAAATACAGGTTATTTTGTATTAACAAACATTTTATATACGTACATTTTATCAATAAGCGGTATAAATCATGCATATTAAAAGCTTTGCATACCATCAGTGTTGTCTCCCTTAACGTAGACAGAGTTCGTCAATTGTGAATATCTGTAATAGATGTGCAATTTGAAACTTCCATTGTTTTTATACGGACTTCAACATGAATCTAGTAGTATAAAGCCATAAACAACCGGAAATCTTGTTAAATCAACGTGAATGCATATGAATGCCTGTATAATGATGGAATATAAAGTTTATATGTGGAGCAGACGATCAGAAATCAGTCAGTATATATATCACTACGCTCCAACAACTTCACTATGCTGGTGAGACATAACTCAACAAGAATTATCTTAGATAGACTCGAACCCGTTGCAGAATTTTCTGAGACATGGTCATTTTAGGAATATATTGCATCTTTGGAGTTTTGAAGAAAAAACATCGGCATTTAAAGGCACATAAAGCCCCAGAAAGGGCAAATATTAATTTTATAGCGGTGATATAATGGTTTACAGAATGTGACATGCTTATCGCATAAAGCGCTGAATGAAAATGGTTTTGACATAAAAGAGGAAAAATTTAACTTCCATACATACTACTTAATGAATATATAACTGTACTAATTGCAAACACAATGGCAGCAAAAGATGGGGCAGGACATTTGCACGAGTAACATTTGATAAACTATACAAGGACACCAAAATTTAAAAGCTTTTCAGAAATATAAAATAATTCTTGGACATAATAGGCCTGACAAATATTTGACAAATACACATGTATCGCTTAAAACATTCTGACAATGTAAAAACGCCGTACTACTGACATTTTTTATAACTACATTTGGTATATATATAACCAAAGCGTAATAAAGGGGTCAGCTTGTTATGTAAATGGGGATAATTTGTACCAGGCAAAATTTTCAATATAAATATATCCGATAGGACCTACAGTGAAACTGCATGTACATGACAAAGATCTTTATATTTACACTTTAAAGCCCATTAGGCAATTTCATTTACTAGTATCAAGAGCTGTTTCTCTTTGGCGTTTTGTAACAGTTTCGGAAATGGTACTAATTGTATACATGACTGAGCTAACTTTTGATTTTCATCCATTAGTAAAGCTATAGCGATTTAGTATATTAAAGCGACACTAAGATTTTTTTGACATGACGTTAGTGAAAGTTATTTTTCGAGATTCATGATCCATTTGACGTATGTCTACACCAATAACTGGTGTGCAAAATTTACGTAATTTGTTTACCACCACGTTCTACCGGAATAATTATTCTAATTGTGAAAAATGATTCATAATCGAAAAGCCTTGAAACGTTTTTCACTCAAATTGGTCTAAAAAGCGCATAATACACGATTTTGAATTTACTCCTAAGTTTATTTCTTAGAAATTAATTTTGTTCATATGCACACTTTCTTTTTTATGTACTTCAGCTGATCTTTGTCTGAATTTTAAATTTCATGTTTTTAGAATTTTAAACCTCAGTGGAATTCCTTTAATGCAAATTTGTATTTTTTTTTTATTTTTTTTTATACTTTTAAGTAACATAACAAGATTTTACATTTGACATCGCTTATCTCGCGTTATACCATCAGGAATAGTCTTATTCCGTTATTAAAACATAAATATCCAGGCGAAATCGTGGCAATTTCCGATGCTTTACTTGCCTTTAAATATATAAAATATAGTTACTTATGTCTATATACATGTATTAATTATTATTTTGTGACCTCGTGCATTGTCCTCTAACTGTTCAGTAATTGTTCTTTCTTAATGGGTTCTAATTGAATAATACTCTTTGATAAACACATATTAAGTGCCTACGTTCTTATTAGTGCGAGTCAGCAGATCTGCCCACTTGCAAGTTAAGTGTCCATGTAAAGCTAGCTAATTATCAATATTTCGTATGGAAGAAGTAGGAGATTATTTTAATGCATAAGGTTATCCTTTTAAACGTGATTTATTGAATATATAAAAGATCATGCCAAGTTATATAGTGGTTGACGTAGAGACAAGAAAAGTAATTATAACATGTACGGTTACAGGACTTGTTATGTTTGCAATAGGAATCGGAATTGGTTACGCTTCCGGTAAAGGTTCATCAAATACGGAATCACCAACTGCAAGCGTTGCCGAAGCAATACGTGCTACGTGTAGCGGTTCTGCTGCTCAGACGTCCTCTGGAAAACTTTACTTTGACCGATTTGTACAAAGACACAGTGAAAAGTATGCATGTGTTAAAACAGAGGAAGAATGCTGGAACTTGGGATTGCCAAGAAATTATATTGCTTACCACTTGAATGGCAAAACAATCACGATTGATGGGAAATTAGACGATGACGCTTGGAAAGAGGTAAACATGTTTTACCACTATTCTTTTGATATTGACACTTTGTCACTTTCCAGTCAGCCCGTGTTGCTTATCACTCAGTTGAACCAGGTCGTGCCAGCAGGCCTTCGGATATACATATACATATAATAATCACCAAAACGTCAGCATTACGACGTGAGTCGTTGAGAGTACTTATATCGGACTGCTGAATTTAGTGGTGTACATCCTTGAGAAAGATTTTACAAAATGCAGGTCGAGGCACATTTTATTAGAAATGTTATATCTTAAACAAAATAATTTATATCCTGGTTGAACTAAAGTCATTTATTCTAGTAAAGTGCAGTATCATACCGTATAATAAACATATGTACTGTACTACGGACCTTATATCAAAATAGCATTGTGGTAACCTTCCAGTCTGTTCCTGAACGGATTTCAGCCCCTGGCTTCGGCTGGGCCAACTTGGAAGTTAGTATGTAACAATGGTATGAGGCCGTCATTGCTGTTTACTTTTCCTTAAAAAATGTTTTAATAAATCACGATTCCGTATTTTAAAGGGGTCACAATTTTATCTTTACAGGTGCCGTGGAGCGAAACTTTCGTTGACATGCGAAGTTCAGTTTATCCAAAACCATATCTAGATACGAAGTTCAAAATACGTTGGGACGATGAACGAATGTATATAGGTGTTTATGTACAAGAAAATAATTTATGGGCGACAATTACCACACAAGACGCGGCGATCTATAAAGAAAATGGCGTCGAATTTCTTATGGACGTAGATGGGTCTTTGTTCAATTTCAAACAAATGCAGATAAACGTCTTGGGTACAATGATGGACCAACTGTTCTATAAATCATCTTGGGATAGCCCTGATGTACAGGTGAAGTTCAAGGACTGGCATCCTGACGTAAGGAAAGCAGTTTACACAGACGGTACTGTAAATACACCAGGTGACGAAGACAAATACTGGAGTATTGAAGTCTCGCTTTTGTTTGCGAAACTTGGTGAAAGGTCACAACGCGCGCAGCCAAATCCCGTCGAGAACGAGGCTTGGTTTATACAATTAGGAAGATCTGAACAAAATTTGACAGTTGAGAATGGGCGCTACAAAAAAGTTCCAAGATCTAAACCACAGTGGTGGTCATGGCAACAATGTGACACCATTAATTTACTTTTACAAGATCGCTGGGGTTTGGTGCAGTTCAAGAAAAACTTGTCAGACAAGAAGTTTCGATTTGATAGATGGCATATTTACAAAGCCTTGTTTGATATGAAGGACGCTATGAAGAAATTTCAATCTGTAAATGGGAAGTACACGACTGACATAGAAGAGCTTGATGTTCCGCCATATTTATTGTCAGGAACTTGCGTTGAAGTTCCCGAAGTAAAGTATACTTACAGAAATAACGAAACGGCATTCAACCCGGTTACAAATCCTATTACAGGTTTTGAGGTAACCGTTAAGTCGAAGTTGATTTCACATAAACCGGCACACATCCGGTCGGATAGATACGTTACATTCCAGTAACTCTAAACCAACGTGTAGCAGAAAAATTTCAAACATTTTCAGATAGACGCTTGTTCAATTTATGTCTGCCATTTGGTTCCCATTCGGTCATATTTTACTTATTGCGTTGTATATATAAATAACAAAGTTTTATTCTTTCAATTAATGAACATATTATTATTCTTTTGTTGACCAACATTGTTGACGGAAACATAAGTATGTTGACCAATATTATTTCACTTAGATATAATCAAGTACAACCTCTGCAAAGAAAGAAAAACACTTTGGAAAGCAACGATTTTGTTGTTGGTGTTGTTAAAAGTTATGAAATAAGTTATAGATACCCATAAAATAAAAATACCTATATGTCATATGTTTTAGCAACCTATATAATATATAAGTTATATATACATATATGCCATAAGTTATAGATACCTATATTTTATAAATACTTACATGTTTTAAATTATAGATACCTTTTTTATGAGTTCAAGATATCTATTTGTTACAAGTTATAGATATCTTTTATATAAGTTATAGATACATATAGTTTATAAGTTATAGATATGTAAATGTCACAAGATATTACAAATGTATATTTTCTATGTTATAGATGTCTGTAAGTTCTTTGTTATACGTGAAACAGAGGCTATAGTTTGAATATGGCCCCTGCACCGTAGGGGTTGAAGTACATTGTAGTTTTACCATGAACATTTTGATGCTTACAGATGCATTATGTAATGATTCAAACACACTTGATAGTGGTCTAGTAAACAATGTTAATCACCAAATATAAAACCTTAAGACCATACAATTTTGGGACCATTTGAAAATTTCATAGCACTTTATGCACAGAAAACTTAAATAACAATTCATACAGAAAAACTTGTAATAGCGCTTCTTGCAAGGATATAAAATTAAAAGCACTTCATGCAAGGAAAAATTTTAATAGCATTTCATGCAAGGAAATATTTATAGCACTTCACGCAAAGAACATTTCAGACAAGTTTCATCAGATTTGCACCAGTGGAGAATGTGCCATTTGAAACAATTGTAGAAAAATCTGGAAGAATGGTGATCCCTTGGAAGCATTTATCACAACTCAATGTAATGGAAGTTACAGACGGACAGACAAACGACGGACAGCTATCAATCCTAAGTCTTTGCCATGAACATCATGCGCTCAGGTGAAGACACCATCATGGAGATATATTATATATGTATATGTGTTCGTTTATCCTGCCGCTCGGCTAACTTTAATGATTGGCCAAATTAATTGTATTGTTCGGCTCGATTAATTGTTTAATCTTGGTGTTTCTAATTAAATTATACCCTGTGATAAACACTTGTGTGTTGCTATTCTAACTATCTACAAATAAATTATATGGATAAGTTTCTTTGTGCATCGGCTATGTAATTATCACGAGTGCTGTAAGACTATAAAAAGAGTTGGTCATCTTTATAGTTGTGGAGTATTCAGTTCAGGCTTTGATTGGAATATAAACAGCTATCATGCCAAGTTATATCGTTGTTGACGTAGAGACAAGAAAAGTAATTATAACATGTACGGTTATAGGACTTGTTATGTTTGCAATAGGAATTGGAATCGGTTTTGCTTCCGGGAAAGGTTCTTCAAATACTGAGTCACCAACTGCAAGCGTTGCCGAGGCAATACGTGCTACTTGTAGCGGTTCTGCTGCTCAGACGCCTTCAGGAAAACTTTACTTCGACCGATTTGTGCAAAGACACAGTGAAAAGTATGCATGTGTTAAAACAAAGGAAGAATGCTGGAACTTGGGATTGCCAAGAAATTATATTGCTTACCATTTGAATGGCAAAACAATCACGATTGATGGGAAATTAGACGATGACGCTTGGAAAGAGGTTAGAAACAATATTTTACAAAGTTAAATATAAAAAGAATTCGGTAAACAAATATTTATTTTAATGCATATAAATGATTAAATCTTGTTAAAAAGATCTAACCGAGTTTTGAAGGAAACTACATATGTATTAACCATGTAGAATTCATACTTTGCATCCTTTTGTAAGCTTATCAAAATTTAACAGTGACTTTTTCCTGTGAACGCTGTACAACTGTGGTGAATTTCTAGAACACTATAACCCCATTTACCTGACCCACTTTTATATACGTTTCTCAAAAGGTAAAGGAAGTTAGGCCAAAACCTTTACATCAATTAATGATTTCTTCACTTGCAATTGAAAAACGATTCCATTTCGAAAATAGTTTCTATTATGTACGTGTTAATTCTTTTTTATTCATTATTTGTTTGTACGCACTGTATTTGTGGTGATATATATAATTGAGCTGCGCCATGACAAAACCAACATAGTACGTTCGTGACCAGCATGGATCCAAACCAGCCTGCGCATATGCGCAGTCGGATCAGGATTCATGCTGTTCGCTATCAGTTTCTCTACTTATAGGGTTTGTAAGCGAAAAGCATGGATCCTGATCAGACTGCGCGGATGCGTACACTGGTCTAAATCCATTCTGGCCGCAAACACACTATGTTAGTTCTTTCATGGCGCGGCTCATATGTGTGCCGTCTAATATTTACAGGTGCCGTGGAGCGAAACTTTTGTTGACATGCGCAGTTCAGTTTATCCAAAACCATATCTTGATACGAAGTTCAAAATACGTTGGGACGATGAAAGAATGTATGTAGGTGTTTATGTACAAGAGAAAAATTTATGGGCGACACTTACCTCACAAGACGCGTCGATCTGGAAAGAAAATGGCGTCGAATTTCTTATGGACGTGGATGGCTCATTGTTCAATTTCAAACAAATGCAGATAAACGTCTTGGGTACAATGATGGACCAACTGCTATATAGATCTCCATGGGATGGTTGGGATCCAAGTATAAGTGTAATGGACTGGCATCCTAACGTAACGAAAGCAGTTTACACAGACGGGTCTATAAATACCCCGGGTGATGTGGACAAATATTGGAGTATTGAAGTCTCGTTTTTGTTTACGAAACTAGCCGAGAGGTCACAGCGCGCGCAACCAAAGCCCGCCGAGAACGAGGTTTGGTTTATACAATTAGGAAGGTCTGAACAAAATTTGACAGTTGAGAATGGGCGCTACAAAAAAGTTCCAGAATCTAAAACGCAGTGGTGGTCATGGCAACAATGTGACACCATTAATTTACTTTTACAAGACCGCTGGGGTTTGGTGCAGTTCAAGAAAAACTTGTCAAGCAAGAAGTTTCGATTTGATAGATGGCATATTTACAAAGCCTTGTTTGATGTGAGGGACGCTATGAAGAAATTTCAATCTGTAAATGGCAAAAATACAACTAACATAGAAGAGCTGGATGTCCCGCCATATTTATTGTCAGGAACTTGCGTTGAAGTTCCCGAAATAAAGTATACTTACAGAAATAATGCAACAGCATTCAACCCGGTTACAAATCCTATTACAGGTTTTGAGATCACCGTTAAGTCAAAGTTGATTTCACATAAACCGGCTCACATCCGGTCGGATAGATATGTCACATTCCAGTAACTCTAAACCAATATACCAACTTTTCGGCCCTTTCTGTCAGTCTTTGGATAAGGATTATTATGAATAATAGCCGAGGTGTTTCCGATTGCCAACATTAAGCAGAAATGATCGACAATTTCTATAAAGACAAATTTTATGTTTCTTTATCTTATCGACAGTATATAATTCTGCAGCAAAAACATTCCCGATATAGTGATATTCTAGTTATCACATTTTTCATAAATATTTTAATGTTTCTGCTCGTATCCGCTCCTTTGAAGAAATAGGTTTTTTGGGGTTTCCTTCAAATAAGGTTGAATATTTATCTTTCTATGCTCACCATCTGTAGAAAGAAGTATGAAATTATTTTTCATAAAAGAAATATTTCAACTTTCATACAAATCATTAACTCACTATACATGTATATGTACTTATTTCCAAAAATCAACAGAGGCAAAAGATGGCTTAGGTAATTAACCAATGAGTATCGTTTTGAAAACTATAAAAGAACATCCAGAGTAAACATGCTTTTCAAAGCTTTTGAGAGATAGAAATATAAATATTTCTGGGGCATATTGGGCCTATAAGCGACATTGCAACAGTGTGAACCTTGATGTTAATATATCGCATTCAAGGCGCGTTTATATAATTGTACAATTCAACCTTTAAAGAGGACACCTTTGTAAAATGAAGGTTTTTGGTAGTGTTTAAAAGGTGTTGCTCTTGAGTCTGAAGATGTTATTGCTTAGCAGAGGGTCTTTCTGTAGAGGTTGAACGTATATGTAACATTTACTGCTTTCAAAACTAAACTTGTATTATATCTTATTATATTAAAGCATGTATGAGTGTAAAGGTTGTTGCTTCATTTTTTTTTTTTTTTTTTTTTTTAAATAAAAGCCCCTTTTCCTTGTGGGTTAGAATACCGCCAAGGACTTTGGATTCTTTATGAGAGGAAGCTATCCAGCTAGCTAACAGAACATATGTGGTTCAACTCAGGTGCCCGTTTGTGTCTGTAATGGCTTAATCACATTTTGGCGATCTGTTAAAATGAGAGCCCTCGACCAAGTCAGACCCTGACCCCCAAACTTGTTCGACTTTTTTCTTTAAACACAAGTCATGCTGTCTCAATCATAAATTTTAGTTTATTTCAATTTGCACTTTTAACAAGTTGAATCACCATAAATTTTCAATAAAGATTTTTAATTGAACCTTAATTTTAAAATAGTTTTTTATTGTTAGAGATGTTTGACCTCTAATTGTCTGATGATAAACTTAAACAAAGAAATGGTATACTGAAGAAAATCTAAACTACACAATTGACTTAATTTGAGTATGATACAATACATGTACAAGTAATAGAAAGAATAGAAAGAAAATAAGGGGGCGTAGCCCCAGAGAGTATAGATCAGGCTGTCGATTGTTTATTGATCTTTCTTTTGCATCATAGGCAAGCATTAAACACGTTCACTGCTGTCACTATATAAAACTCCAGAAGACAAAGGAACAAATGAACGAGCATCGTTATTCCTTCTCTGACGTCACATTATGTAACCCCCCCCCCCCCTTAAAAATGATCCAATCAGTAAGCAAGTTCTGGAGTGCGGGGTAACAACTAACTACAAGTGAACGCGCTATGCACGTATGTGTACATACGATTTAACTCTGGCACATTTTCAACAAAATGGTGTCCACGTTATGAAACTATATACTAGTGTAGCACTACTCAATCGACTGTGTTTTTTTAGCATAATTCAAATATTCAGCCAACTGAGTTTAATGCCAATATATTTGAAGAAAATCGAACTTGGCCAAAGATGTACAAAGATTTTAGGAAAAGTAAAGAGTCAAGATTCAAGAAATAAACAGATAACTGCGATAAATGGCCGATTTGACTGTATTAATAAATAAAGTGTATTTATAACGAACATTCTGCGTGACAAAAGTTTAATTAAAATTCGTATAAATCTTGAAGCATGCTGCTAAATAGATTACATATTAAACAATAATAGTTATCGAAATTGTGGACCAAGTTGCCTCGTATCTAAATAAGAGTGTTCCAATTATATGAAAAGATTCAGAATTAGTTAACTGATCATTATTCAACAGATAAATAAGACAAAATAAGCGCACGAGAACTGTCGCAAGAAAGAGGTCAGTATACCGAAAAAACAAATTTGGTGAACTTTTTGTTAACAAGATTAATTCGTCCTATACTTGAACCATAACCCCATGCCTAGATCCCTGACCTGTCTGAATCTAATTATCAGATTAGTGGATACAACATTTTTGATAACAAAAGAGTGCATATCAATGTTTGTGGTTAGATATATTGTTATTCAAATTCATGGTGGCTGATTTGGAACACTTTCGTGCGTGTATTTTCACTAGCGGCAGCACGACAAAGCGCCAAACGGTGTGTTGTTGGTCTTTCGTCTTGGCGTCATGTCGCTTACGAAACGCCCTTGTGATATAATTCATCGCATCCGAACTTCAAACAGTGGTTTTATTGAACGTGCACGCGGCGTCTTGTAGATATGCATTTGTCCATACAGCAATTGAGGAAATTTTAGACTTGATTTTGAGTATTTTCTTCTTTTTTTAACAAAATTGAACTGTTTTCAACCTTTCTAATAAAAATAGCTTTTCTGATGTACAACATGTCACAGTGCTTTAAGGGATAAGAATAAACGTTGAACTGACGCGATAGTACCATGTATGAATATCATGTTCTTTTTATCATTATCTAATTTTATCTACATAATAAATAACGTGCCAATGAGCCAGTCTATAGTCGATCGTTTTAAAACTTAACCGTTGAGAGAGGTAACGACTGAGGCAGTGTCACTCACTTCATTTCCTGCGCCTCTGTTGAAGTTCTGCTCCGCCTTAAATTGTCGCCAAATTAAATATGATGTTCCGTATGCTAGCATTCAGTCGTTTTGCGGCGAAAGGGAACCAGGACAACTTTGACCAATATCTAGTGTCGAATCATTAAATTACAAGTTACAAAGCTTAAACCACGCCCACTATCAGAGAGGCGGTTGTCCCTCAACCGTTAAAAACGTACGCCAAACTCTGCACAACGGTTTCAGGGGGCCTCCGTGGCCGAGTGGTTAAAGTCGCTGACTTGAGATCACAGATCCCTCACCGCTGTAGGTTCGATCCTCACTAGGGTCGAAATCTTTCATGTGAGGAAGCCATCCAGATGGCTTACGGAAGGTCGGTGGTTCTACCCAGGTGCCCGCTCGTGCCTGAAATAATGCCCGAAGGGGCACCTGGGGTCTTCCTCCACCAATAAAGCTGGAAACAAATCGACGAAAAATCTCGGCGGGACGCTCTAGGATGGCCCGACTTGAGTGTACGGTCGCCCATATGGGCTTTCCGGCGGCGACCTTAAATAAACGCATTAAAAAAAAATGCACAACGGTTATGCTACGGCCAGTAAGGGGGAGATCACTGCAGAACAGTTCGTCCTCAAAATCATTCGATCATAATGCAATTTTTACCAATATTTAAATGGACATATTCTCGGCATTTATTTCTTGAATTTATCTTAAGTATACCAATCATTTCAATTTTTCTTTTTATCAAGTTTATTTTGCTTCGACCAGACGTTTCACTCTTTGTCGCAACAGACAAACATTTCAGAATTTCAGACATGGCATTACTTTGTGAATTTATGCATTAGGTTCTACTTTTTCACAAAAATATGCAACTTAATTATTTAACAACGAGCACATACCAATAAAATTCTTAAAAAAATTAATTTATGCTTCGGATATTCAACTATAATGGAGAACGATTTTCAATGCTGATTGACTGTTCACATCATTTGGCGGCGTCTTTGATGTGCAGCATCACAGTTAACCTGTTAAATATTTTAAATACAGAAATAAGCGGACACGGAGATGTTGGTACGCTTACTTTAGTATTTACTACGCACGGTGACTATTATTTTCAAATATCATTTCACGAAACGTCAAATACATGTTAACTAAAATGTAAAAAAGTGAAGAATGGCTTGATAATGAATGTCGAACTTAAAATGACATTGCATCATTTTTTTTATCATTTTTTACATTCCCACGATATATGTGTGTAAGAAATAATATTTCATTTATATTAATATTTATTATATGTACAGTTGACTCTCAATAAGTTTTACTCAAAAATTCCGCGTTAGTCGAAGAATTTCGTCCCGTCAAATTTCCTTCTTTAACTAGGTCAAATTTTGACTTACCGAGACTCCTGTTTAGTCGAAAAGAAACATTTGGTCCCGTCAATTAAAGCCCAACATATTTTCATCTCAATAACTCGAAGTGTGAAAACAGCCGACTGCTCAAAGGTTGGCGACATCAAGGTGAGATTTTGTCACTCGTGATTAACAAGTTTCATAGTATTTTTAATTGCCGGTCATCATGTATTATTAACACATCGTAGTAAAAATGGCTTTAATCTGTTTCAGGACTTAATTGGTTTTAACAGCCACGTCCAACCATCGAGTCTGATATGAATGCTTGTGATATTTGGTGTCAGTTTTTACAAACTTGTAAACATAAAGAGAATCTTATTGCCGCTGTTGTTAAAGTGAATAATTTCGTCGCAAACGCCCATTTACATAAACAGTTTACCAAGAGACTAGCCTTACACTTTCTTTGTGCCAGTCTATCAGGTGTTAGTCAAATGCGTTAAGTATATTTGGTAAATATAAATTTCTTAAAATTAAACGGAAAGTTAATTCAAATAAAAATAAATGGTTTAATACCGAATGTCTTCAAGCGCGAAGAGAATTTAATAAATCAAAAAATAAATATTTACGAAACAAGAACTCTGAAAATAAATTAGAGTTTTTAGATAAAAAACGAGTACATACAAATAAAACGTAAACAAAAAATAAAAAATAAACGTTCAGAGGGCAATCGTATTGCAGAGCGCGCTAAAAGTAACCCTAACTCTTTTGGAGAAACATTAATTTGCAATATAAAAAGATGTCATCTGATCCCGTAAATGTACAGTTTCAAGATTTATTTGAACATTTCAACAAACTATATGGTGAACGACCCGAATCGAATGAAAATGATTTTAATGAAAATGAAAGTCAGGAAAACTATATCCAAGATTAAGATTTGGATATTGAATTCACAGAATCGGAAGTAAGAAACGCAGTTTTTGCCCAGAATAATTCTAAAAGTCGAGGAATGGACAACCATATAGCAGAAATATTTAAAACATCATTCGAACTAA